GGGGGGTGCGAAAACAGGTGGCTTTCAAAAATATTATGTGGTCAGTGGTAAATCGCCCGAAAATAGTGGACGCGGAGCTCGAAATCCGCCATGTTTTTGCGGACACTTTTTTGTTTGACGAGATATGGGAGCACGGTCTCCAGATATATATAGTAGAGCTCAGTGGCGCAGACACGCATGTGACTATGTGAGTAAGTTATATTCGCCCTATTATGCATGTATTCTAAGACATCATATAGAGTCTGCAGTCATTATAATTCAGAGATATTGCTTTGAAGATAATTGGACAGCCTGAAATGAGACATACAGCAACGTCAATGTGAATAAGGCTACTTCTACACTGTACTGGATGAAAACACTTATCCGTACCTTTTAGGCACGCTATTTTCAGAGGAGTTATTGCAACGGATAGATGTTGTTTCGCTCATCTTTTGAAAGTTGTACACTCTGTATCGGATTCCGCTATAGTGTAAATGTAGCCTAAGTCGACATCCTACAATCTTGATTTTGGTTAGTTATCTGTTTCAGTCAGTGTGGATGACAACTTTTCCGTACAGCAGCACTTCTCCTTGCGATAGTAACTCCTAGTAGTAGTATTTTAAAAATGTATGTAGGCGCTTGAAGCTAAATCCACTTGAATCTGTCAACTGACCGCGCGCAAAATGAAACTGACCACAAGCATGAATTGATGCTTGAAGTTCAGGCGTCGCAGCAAGTTCCAAACACACTACAGAGTGTGTTTGAATTATTTTACCAATATAATTTTCAGTTTTAAGAGGCAAATAGACTGGTCATGCCGACCTTTGACTATGCTGATTTTGTGTGGACCATCTCTTCAAATCCTTCACAATAAAGCCGCAAAAATCGTTGTTGAGGCTTGTCCACTTTCCTCAGCCGGGGAATCACTAAGTTCGTTGACGGCTGGCAGCTGTTATCAATGAGCACACACTTCCACCGTTGCCTCATCATTCACAAGTGTTTAACTAAACAATAACGCCGACTTTAAGTTTCACAAACAAAACTTACATTAGGAGCGTGTCAAGGAAAACTGAGGAAAACAGGCATACAAGTCATACAGCAACCATGCTGAAAACGACTGGAACGGTTTACCTGCATGTTGAACTCCCCGAAAAATAGAACAATTTACATATTTTAAAATGAAACTTAAGAATCATTTGTCATATAAGACACTCCACCATATTGATGGGGCGTGCTAAGACATTATAAGCTTTAACATTAATATCATTATCATTTTCTATTATTATTGCTCAGGCTCTACTAAAAATCACTCTTGTGAGTGGACTTGCTGGTTAAATATTGTATACAAAAAGAACATCGTGAACATGATGCGCATACGAACATCGTATTAGATATTTTGTAAACGAAACAAGGAGTGGGATAGCCCAAAACTCTATATAATGACAATATAATTCTACATTCATTTTACAAGATGAAAGCTAAGTATACCTAGAGAATAGATGCCGATTACCATAAAATTTCCTACATCTTCATCTTACACCTGTTTTACAACATGACTCAATGAGTGTATCAACTTATAATTGATAGAATTTCTATAGAATTTCCTACTTCGGCATGAAAATGAGAATATTTTAGGAATTTAAGCCTGGTTTCCATATGATTATAATACTGCAGTACGTATTCTCTAATTATAATCACTCCGCGAATTTTCAGTTCTAAAATGTTGTATTTCGGCTGATGATAAAGATCGTGAATCAATTTTTACGACCGTTACGACCATATGGAAACAAAGCTTAAGGAAGTATGAGGAAAGTTACTGAGGTATACAAATACAATCCCCATGCGAGAACAGGAAGTCGCTGTCAAGATTGAAGAGATTTTTAAGTGGGAAGCCGTCTACTTGACCGACCAAAGAAAGTGAAAGAAACTTAACAACCTCAGTCAAATATCTTGAAAGGCTTGTCTTGTCTGCTCAATACATGAATTCTGGGCTTTACCACACACACGCACACGCACACGCACACGAGTTTCTATATTCTAGTTCCATATATCCTATATTCATCATTTTATAAGATCCATAGAGATTGATTACCTCACCCACCACTCAGCGTTAACTCGGAATTTGGACAAAACCGGGAATTTCCTACGACATAAAGGAGAAATTCTTATCTCCAGCTGAGCTGTATAAATGAGAATATCCTAGGGAGTATGACGAAGTATTTATGAACAATCGGCATGTATGTCGAGAACTGGAAGTCAGAGATTAAGATGTCTATTTGAACAATCGGTAGTTCAGAACCACTCTCCTCCGCAGAGTCAATAATTATATAGGATTGCAGGGATAATGTAGGGATAGTAGAGGACATTTCGTAGTGCGCGACGGGGGGGGGGGGGTGAGACCCATGACTAACAATTACGTAATTTGTTTCCCAAGTAATATTGCGTAATTTTACTTAAATTCGTAAGGCTCTGCGGAAGGGGGTGGTTCGATCAGAACTTCAACAGAAGACGCTCTCGGTTGAAAATAGAGAGAGAGATATGTTTTGGAAGAGCTGTTCTTCTGACAGTGCAATATAGTTGTGTAATATTTTCTCCCACGCGTGTCATCCTACACGCTTTTCACGCGATGGCGTAGCAATTCAAAGCGCCTGGGTACGAGGCTGATGCCTGAGAAGGAAGCTCGCAAAAGCTCGCATGTTTCATATTGCTGATTCATCAATCCCTGCCTCGTACCCAGGCGCTTTAAATAATTATAATACATGAATTATTCAGGTGGCAGGCGACGCGCGAAGGGGCTGTTGGGAAGGATGCGTGCTGGGTGTACTCTTCCCATCAGTCCCTTTGCCCATCTCTCCCCACTACACTACTTCATGTAAACTCGTCATATGCGCATCACTGTTTTTTACAAAGAGACGCCTGGGTACGAGGCAGCATCAATCCAGTTAAATTTCTATCAGTGTCAGAGACCGAAGTCACCATTCACAAGATTTACAATCTCGTACCCAGAGCCACTCAACGATGGCTCTGGTTACGTGATTGCAAGATTTAACGAAGTGTAATTGGAAAAAAATGTAAATATGATTAATGTGTTTGTATTGGCAACCACGCTTTAGCAAACCACAAATCTTATTTGACTTAATATATTAGGCATTAATGAATATAAATTTAGGAACAAACATTGAAATGACAGGTCCTTTGGTCTAAAGTTGGGCCTTTGTCTAACACAACTTGGACCTTCTACCCATAGTTCTAAGCAAAACGACTGGGAAAAGTAAGGCTAGAGCATTTATATATAGAGGGGGATACAGCCGAACACCCTTCAACGTGTAATATTGCGCAAGTTAGGGCTCGAGACTATTGTTTAATGACGCTCAGTTGCTGCGGGATTTTCTTTATCTTTCCCGTGTTAAAGTCTCCGTCTTCGTTCTATATATATATATATATATATATATATATATATATATATATATATATATATATATATATATATATATATATATATATATATATATATATATGAGCATGTTCGTGAGCATACCATGCAGATTTTGGTATATGTATATATATTATGAGCATGCAAGATGCCACTTCAGACTCTCAGTAGCATGAAGGTCCTGTTTCAGTAATGCATGGCTGGAGCATGACCTCAGTTTTCTTCAACTAGCCCTTTGTCAGAGAAGTACACAAAATAAAAAAATAAAGCTAAACGGGGACATATTTCGCTATTTAGGAAATTTAATGTAGTCTTTAGAGTCATTGCATTTTTGGGACGAACAGGTTGTGCCATTGATTGTAGTATGCATCAATGCATGCCAACCATTCACTTTGCCTTTTATCAAAACGGATATGAGATTACCTCAGAAGTTTATTGAAGTTAATTCCCCTTAATTCATCCATTATTGTTTCCTGAATTGAAGCCCATTAAATTGTTGTGCAAACTCAATCTCTAAAATGGTGTAGGCCATATTAGATTTTATTGCTTTGTTATACATAATCCTTATGACTGACAGGCCCTAAATCCCTGTCAAAGTAGATACATCGAGAACAATAGTGATGTTGCGCAAAGGTGATCTTTTCAGTTTCTAAAATAAACTATAGAAAACCGAGTGGCGCCGAGTTTTGACAAGTTGGCAAGGCATATTCTATATATGAACACGGAAACACATTAAGTGGAAGCCTTTATTTCTCTTTAATAAATAAGGTCAGGATCACTAGTTTTGCCATCATAAGCGATAAGCGAAGGAACTTACTAGAAAATGGGTCATGGGGGATATTTTCGTACAAAACCTATTATTACTATTCCCTATTTTGTCTCGGTAACTCCGTAACGCTAATCGATGTAAAAAGACTTCTAATTCTATATACATTTACAAAATTGCCATATTGCACGTTAACCGCAGACCGTTATGGTTTTATTGGCTTCTACTGAGCCTGCTATATATAAGTATATCACATGCAACATGTTTTCTTATAAAGTTGTTCAAATATCCATGGGCGCTATTAAAAGCGAGGTTTGTTGTGTCTGTTTTCGGATGCCTGCTTCTTTTTTAAATTTAGAAAATTAATTTCACAATTACATCAATCCTGAAAATATTTCGCTGTTTTACTTTACCTATATATTAGCAATGCATGCGTGGTTGAAGCAGGTCAGCTTCCGTGCAGCAACTGGCCCCATGCGCGTTAACTCTGTTGCTAATTATAGCAAACGAGTTTTGTCATTGCTTATCCATATCACAAGAAATACCATGTTTTACTGCTTCAAATGTGCAGTAGTGATGCAACTACACTATAGATACAAGAGCAATTTCAAACCAGTCTAACATCATCCAACATTGTCGATCCAACTGTAGGCTATATTGGACGATGTCGGTATAAAAATTTGAACATCAACATCCTCTGACAAAAGCCAACTTGTCCAAATATGTTTAAGACATGAGCGATTCCATGATCCAACAATATTAGAAGATGTTGGATCAAGTGATCAACATGTTGGAGCGCCTGAGCTGGGAGACTGAAACTATATTTAAAGTTTGCTGTGATTTTCTTCTTGGCTGATGCATATGAACGAGTACTCGAGTAGATGAGTTCTGAAAAGTTCCGCTGAGTACATGTTCCTTCTTCTGAGCATTCATAACTCTTCCGCTCGTTCATTCATATCCATCAGAAGAAAACCGCACTATAGAAAAGGCAACAAAAATTGCATTCTATTGCGCATGCACAGTTCCCAATGGCAATGTGGTGAATGTATCGACATACATAATTCTTATATTTTTGGTCTGTAATAAAGGAGTTAATCTAGCTCTATATGAATAACCATCTATTTATGGAAAGCGAACGTCATAAATGAGTTGGCGTACTATAGCGGAAAGTGGAGAATTGGTTGTAAATCCTTGAAGGAAATTGGGTTGGATTAAGTGTTTATCATACCTTATTAACACAATAATAATCACAAAAAAACAAAATGATTAATTAGCAAATATTACTGCCCACCAAACCACAAGCAAGCTACGGAAACACAACGCAATTAGAGAAAGAAGAAAACGTGGAATCATGGAAATGAATTATGGACTCATGCATGCATTCGCGGACTTATGATCAATCTCATGGACGTTTGTTCCAACCGCCCTGCAAGGACTTATAATCTCATGTACCTGTGGACTCATAGACGTATGGAACCATGGACATTTAATGATCATGAATTTGTGGACCGTGAACTTGTAGTCTCCGTATACCCTGGTCCCAATCGATGGACTTACATGAACTTGTTCTCGTGTATGTTTGGACCTAAATAGTAATTATCTCATTGATTTATGGAACCATGTACGTATGGACTGGTGGACCTATGTTCTCATGGATCTATAGATAGACCTATTATCTTGCATATCCCATGATCCTATGGAAGCATACTCTCTATGATCTCAAGGAAATTTGGACCTACTACGTTCTAATAGATCTGCAGTGGATTTATTATTCTCATCTGCCTGCTGTTGCCCAGACTTACACATATTGGAGCAAGGTTTATGGATACGTAGACATAATTTTCTGATGTTCTCGTTCGACTTGAAATTATGTTTGAATTTCCACTCACGCCCTCAAGAGGAATCTAAAATCGAGTCCACGCAGGGGCATTCCAAGTTACCTACGTAACATGACGAGGAAGAAACGAACCTGCAAAGATCAGTCAATTTCTTAATGGTGTTTACTCAACAATCACTCTCGATGGATAACTACATTAATTGATGCTGAAAAGATTGTGTTTGTATTCGCCGCTATGTGGGAAACATGGACTCATTGGAATGCGGAACCTTGGACGAAACTGGAACTATTTATAACTTCTGATTTGTGAATAATAAAACTTTAAGCCCCTCACATGATTAGGTAATTGTCGGTGTTGGCTTGTTTAGCAGTTAGTATAGCTGGGTTTCAGTTTTTGATCAAAACAGATATCAATCATGAATCATCAACGCAATATATTTGTTCCAAGTTGATAGTCACGGATTCCAACTGACAAGATTCCATTTTCCATTCCATGTTTCATCAGAGTTTCGTCAATTATTCAATTCAATGCGTAAATGTAAACGATTGTGACACTACTCAAAGCGTGGGTAGTTATAAGCAAAGAGCTTTACTTAGTCCAAGACTGTATTAAAGAAGACATCAGAATGAACAGCGGGTGTTTTGGACGGTTAGGAATGGATCCACAATTCCATGGCTACACACCGTATTTCTATGCTCCTCCAGGGCACCAACTGACAGCGATGTATCCCAGACCTCAAGTCGTACCAATGTTTATGCCTTGTATCCAACAACCTGATACGCCAAAACCTTCAAAGTCTTTTAGTATAGAAGATATCTTACAACGTCCGCATCCCAGAACGTGCATGGCTAACCGTTCCTATCTCTCAGGAATTAGCGAGGTGACAGGGAGGGTGGACTATAGATTCAGTCCAGCACCTTATTGGGAGAGAGGAATGTGGCATTCTGCACTATCAGAGAGATTTACAGGTAAAAGTGGATTACTTCAATAGTTACTTCTTAAGCCTGGCTTATACACTATCAAAGTTTCGTTGATCAAAGTAGGGATTTTGCATAGGTAAGTTCTAAGTTTTGAAGGATTTGTAAGAAATGTTTGAGGAAACTGACTCAGTGTTTAACACTAACGCCTATATTCTAAAAGCACACTCACACAAAGAGTGGAGGTTCAATCTGAGCTTCCCTTGAGTGTCAATGCTGTTTTTGAATAGCTGATTGAACCTCCACTCTTTGAGTGTGAGTGAACTTTTAGAATACAGGCGTGAGTCAGTTTCCTCAAACATTTCTTACAAGTCTTTCAAAACGTAGAATTTACTGATGCAAAATTCCTACTGTGATCACAGAAATTTTGATAGTGTAAATTAGGCTTTATTTATACTGCTATACCTTGAAGATAGACTGTAGGCTTATAGGCGATCTAGCCACGAAAAGATGATAAAATACCTCGGCATTTCATTTTATTAGTTTATAGGAATGCACGAAACTGCTATCTCAAGTTTCCACTGTATCGGATCTTACTCTCATTTGGCGAGTGTTTAGCAAATGGCTATAGTCTTTTCCTCTACGGAATGATCGAAGTTGCAGGCAAGCGCTAATCCGGAGCGATCCGAATTCCTTCTTCTTCTATGTTTCTGCCTTATAACAGATATAGACCTTATATCTCTTCTTTTTCATTTGAAACGTGAGTTCAGAGAATTGAAGACTATTCATCTGAAAAATTAGTTCCGAGAATTGCCTTCTTATATATTTACTGCGGTAAGTCTAGGAGACGGCTATTTCTAGTCCAATTTCTAAGTGCTATAAGATAATAACTAATCACTAAAGAATGAGTAAAGTTAGAGACACAATGAAATAGGCTAGTCTTTTCCCAGACGTCTTATCATTGAGAAACGAAGACTCCTCGTTGCTAATCTGTAGGCAAACGTTTCATTTTGGTAGATAATTTGGCCCCCTAAGATTCAAGATAACACAACTTTTCGAGCAAAAACTCTCATAGGAAGAGTATGAAACTTCGTGCGGAGTATTGATGCCCTGGTAACAGAAGTGATGGAGACTTTTTCTTTTCCATACTTTTCACCACTCTTAGAGACCGTTCATCATTTACACCTCAGAAGCACTGAAGAGGAATTTAAAAAGGTTAATATTTTGGTTTATCCAAAAAAATTTTGAGACTTCAAATATTCTTTACCTAACAGTACATTCAAGACTCGCATTTCACGATTTTAACCATGTGGCCAAATTCTGGGTTTCGTAAGTTAAGTTAAGATAAAATACTATTTGAACATTGAAAACGTGTTATGTTCATGAATATTTTTGGAGTTATAAAATGAGTTTTGTCGGTGTGTTAATAACCACTGTTAACATTATGAATATTGTGAACACCTCGCTCTTACTCTCTGAAAGTACTGAAAAGCATAATGTCAATCATTTTTGGGATTTTTTAACCAACGACCTTGAGTCATTCTTTTCCAATTTAGATACCTACCCTTTTAAGGGGATGAAAAAACCCGCGAGTGACCCAACCTAATTCTCTTCCGTACTACCTGTGGCATAAATAATGAACGATCCCATAGTCTCGATTCAACTGTCACTAAAGCCCCGATTAAACGAGGATGAGAGTTGACGGTAGTTGAAGAGCAAGAGTTTTCTCAACTCTCATGCCCCGGTCAAACGAGAAGAGTTGCATGAGTGTTGATGGGAGTCGACTGGATATTGCGCGCACGTAGCGAGAACTCTCGTCAACTGTTATCAAAATTTGAACCATTTCGAATAAGTTGATGAGAGTTGATAAGAGTGCATGAAAGTTGCCGAAGTACTATCGTCAACTGTCATCCAAGTTTGACCGGCGCCTTACAGAGGACATTTCAAGCTCTAGATTAACAAAATCAAGGATTGACGAATGTCCAACCATATTTTAACTTTAATAAAATACATGATAGTGTTGGGAAAACATTAATTAACCAAGGTCGCCAACTTTCATGCACTCTCATTCTCGTTTGATCCGCGGGCTTAAAGAGGAAGAATGTTTCGTATTCCAAAGTTAAAAATAAATCGGGACGACCAGTTTTCTAATGGGGTCACACACGAGGCTTATGTAAACTAAGGTCTTAATATAGTATAAGACGGGTTTTCAGATACGAGCTTAGGAATTTACGCTTAGCGAAACATATGGAATTGGATGATGATAACAACCTTTTAATGTTATATGCCATTGTGTACGATGAATAACGGCCGTGTTTACTCTTTACCAGAAGTGGCCATCCATAGATTTTGACGGCACTTTAATCGGCTATTAAGATTTGAGTGGCTTTTTAATTAATTTGCGTGTACATCCCACTCCCGTATTTACACGTTAAATCTCCCACGATTCAGGACGACCCGTTCTCATTGGCACATGTCACAGAGGTTAACGAAATTAATTGCTTGATTTTATAAAGATTGAAAAAAGCTTTTTACCACACGTGGCTAGAAAATCAACCAAATTGTTTGGTTTATTTTGAGCTATTGATGGGCTAATGATCGAGCTTTTGTTTGGCTGTTTTAGGGGCACTTTTCAAAATGTTTGCAAAGCACACATGTTTTGTGAGGGTGTGAATGAAAAATAGACTGCTCTCATCAATGTCAAGATTTAGAACTCAGATCATATTTACGCAATATCAAAACTGAAAGTGTTTCTTATCTGGTAATCGGGCTTTCTCCTCAGCAGAGGCTTTAGTTAGCTATGATTACGATTAGTAATTCAGTGCTTCCACATAATTTCCTTCCAACCGTTCAAAATTTCCTTATTTTTGAAAAAATTTCCTTGCAATAAAAATTATTGAATTTTACCTAATTTAAAACTGATTTTATAGTAATTTCTCTCGAATAACCGGATATTTCTTGTTCTAGAAGGAACATAGAAGTTGCGGGAGCTGAATTATCAAAGGGGAGAGACAAAGAGTTTACCTAGATTTTACGAAGGAGAATAAGCAAAGAGGGTCTGGGGTCCTCCCCCAGAAAATTTTCAGATTTTGCATCTCGTAGACACGATTTTTGGCATATTTTGAAGCGCATTTCCTTGGAAATTGCCGTATTCTTAGGATTTTTTTTTGAAATAATGCAATTTCCTTCACATTTCCTTCAATCTTCCGATATTTCCTTCATATTTCCTTCAGGATCGAATTTCCTTATAATTTCCGACAACTAGTTAAAATTTCCTTCAAAAAGGAAAATTCCTTCAAAATGGAAGCACTATTTAGTATTGAGATACATTTTCACTACACTTTTCATGGCGAATCTTGGAACACGAGCGGAGCCGCTGGGAGAAGGATCCGCTAGTATTCCAAAATCCACCATGTAAAGTGTAGTGAACTGTATGTCAATACTAATCGTAATCATAGCCAACTGAAGCCTCTGTGGAGGAGAGAGGTAATCGGGTATTAAGTTTAAAAAAGAAAAGAAAAGCTCGCAGGTTTAATACTTTAATTCCAACCGCAGGACTCAAGCGCAATTTTCAGCTTGTCCTGTGGAAAAACTAACGTCATCTTATTCATGAAAGTATGTTAAATGACAGTTGATGTCTTGATAAGACTTGAAACTCTCGCTAGCGTTTGACCGCGTCAACTCTCATCGACTTTAAGCTGGTTCAAATTTTGATTGAAAGTTGATGAGAGTTGTTGTTTAATTGACAGGTAATATTCATGCAGTCAACTCTCATCGATTTTGAGCTGGTTCAAATTTGATGAGAGTTAATGAGAGTTGTTGTTCGTTCGACAAGTAATATCCATACAGTCAACTCGCAACAACTTACACGCAACTCTTAATTACCCATTTCCTAAAGTCCTGGGTCTAGTCGTGCAAATCCCGTGTTGGAGGGACAAGAAATATGGCAGCACACATTTAAATTAAAAGTTTAATGTAAAAAGGAGATATTTCATTTTTGGTCGTCTAAAAAGTTGATATTTGATCTACTCTTTCACATATTTAACGCCTGTCACCATTTACTTTGTCCCTCCAAACGATCCCAGAATGCACTGCGATCTCTTTTGGGAAAAGGCTAATTGTTCTCGTTTGAGAAGACGTGAGAGTTGATCAGAAGACTCTGGTACAAGCACTCGTGCTGCCATCTCTCACCATGGCTTGTAGTGTATATGATTGAACCACAATCACTAAAGTATGACTTCCTTCTATAGGTCCAAATCCCACCCACCACGACTCTTATTCAGAGAAAGATCTACTCCGAAGACGAAACACCAGACCCACATTCAGCGGTCGTCAGGTGTATCTGTTGGAGAAAACATTTCAACAGACAAAATATTTAGCTGGACCTGAGAGAGCCCAACTCGCGTATACATTGCGCATGTCCGAAAGTCAAGTCAAAGTCTGGTTCCAAAACCGTAGAACAAAATGGCGGAAAATAAACTCTGTCGTGGCAAAAACCCGGGAGGCGAAATCTCCCGAGGTATCAAAATCTCCCGAAGAGGACGAACAGGATGAGTGCAATGGTGACTCAGCTATAGAAGACAGATAAAACTGCACAGGAAAAACATTTTCATTCACCAGAGAAATACTTTGGTATCAGTCAGAGTAAAATAATATCAAAAAACATAATACTTCAGGGACCAGTCATTATTATCCCTATATCAAAACTGGCGTTATAGTAGTACACATACATGCAAATCACAAGCAAGATAACATAATTATATTTGTTCCCACTGGCATCATATTAAGTGGGCGTATACATTTTAGCGTACATATATAATTATCATTATCGATAAAGCTGCAATGAACTTGTAGCTAAACCTGTCATGTAAATAGTAATGTAATATTTTTTGGAGATACGAGTACATATAAAATTAAAAATAAAATGAGAAATAGAATTTTTTTGCATAGAATTTTGAAAGAATAGAAATTGAGCATAGAATGTTAATTTGTTTTAAGTCGTAAATTATAGCACGATCCTTTATTAAATAGTGCATCCATTCCCATGCAGTTACTGATTTCAATACACAGGGCCGCCGAGAGAATTCGCGGGGCCCGGGGCAAATCTTCTCTGGGGGCCCCATGACATCATTATTTTTAAGCTAGACCCAAGTCAGTCACCCAACTAGACCTTAGCTAGACTGCATGTGGAGCTACTGTACCTGCCCTCAATTTCAAAAATGCTCTGACCAATTTAAAGAACCTACTCAGTTTTAGGCTCTCACTCTCAAGTTGGGGTGGGGGCCGGGGCAATCCCCCCCCTTTCGGCGGCCCTGTCAATACAATAAGAATATAATATTAGCACTGATAAAGATTTGGAACTATTTTAAAACTATATACGTGGCGTTTCCAACAAAATAGATAAAACTGGTTAATTGCGGTTTGAGAGGGATTAAACTACGTGAAATATACAAGTAAAACTTCGACGTTTCCAGCGTTCGCCGAAGGCCCTTCTTCTTTTTCTTCACTAACTTCCCAAGGAAAGGCCTTCGCTCGAAAAGTCGAAATTTTGCTTGTATTTATCAGGTAGTTGAATCCTTCTCAATCTGCAGCTTTCTGGTGTTATTATCACTATACCTATCACTGGAAAAATAGTGAAATTCATGCTATGGAATTTGTGATTGCATCACTATATAAATCCATAATATATCCATACTAAAATACAATACAAACTCCGAAAAAATTCATATTTTTAATTCAACGTTTCGACTACTGTTGAGCCATCAACAGGAATTATGATTATTCATAATTATTAGCACTGAGAAGATCGGGGCTTACGGATCGAAAGCTTTGCAGCAATAAATTTACGTGGTGTTTCCACAAACAAAACTATTATATGTTTTATCGCCATGCAAACGTTTCGAAGTTTCCATTGTATTGTATTAAAATACTCAGTGGTTACCGAAAATATCCATACTATTTCCATGCTATATCCATAGTATGAAAATTGCAAGTATAGTATGAAAATTGGATTTCCATGCAATTTTCAACCAAGATCCATGCTATTTCTACAGTAAGGATTTTGAAAAAAATTTACGCCTGACCCTAACATTCTAATATTAATTCCACCAAGTGAAGTGCAAGAATCCTAATCATTGAAATCCACCTTATCACAACCCGCACACCCGATTACCTCTATATACATGAACTTATGGTTACAGCTCAACAGCTGGCCTCTGTAGCTCAGTTGGTTAGAGCGCTGCACCGGAATCGCAGGGCCGTAGGTTCAATTCCTGAATTCCTACCAGAGAACCTTGTGCTGCATTTTTCGCAGTCGTTCCTGGTTAGGTCTTAAAATGTATATATATTCACTTGGATTACAAACCCTAACATTCTAATATTAACACACAAGCCTTGCAGCCTGTTGGAGTGTTGCAAGTAAGCAGCTGAAAACGTGTTTGGTTTAAGAAACGATTATGGAGAATTATTCCTTAATGCTTCCTTGATCCTCGACCTAATTCATTAACAATTGCCAAGCGATGCCTTGAACTTTGTTTGCTCAGTGTTAATCCATGTTATTGCATTCGAACTAACTAGAAGGCGTGACTGTTTATTAGTTCAATTGGAATTCAATTAAATCTCCAAATTTGCAAACAGTGAGAAGTAATTACGAAGGAACGTTAATCCTAATTCTGCATTTCAAGTTATAATTAGATCATATTATGGGAATCAAAATGCGTTACAGCTGATTTCACTGACAATATACGATCAAAACATACTATAACATAAGGACAACCAGGTCTATCCGAGTGAGGGGTACCCAAATTTATAAAAATCATAACGTAGAAAATTGTGGCTTACATTGAATTGTCATATATACATTACATAAAAACCATTTATAAAGTCAAATGCAACTAACTTACCGCCGAAATCTATTCGGTGCAATTCTATACAAACCAACATGCTGAATGTCATATAGATAGAGCAAAATAAGTGCTGGACATCATAGGCTATAGCATCCAAGAGGCAAGAGGAATCATCAGGTGGTCAGTGCATGTTAAGAGTCTTTTATATATAATGCTGACGTCAGCAATATTTTTCAAAGCTCCGTAAATTATCGACTCAAAATGTTTGGCGAACACTCCTAATAGCGATCTAAAGAAAACATGTAAGACAGCCAGCTTTGTAGCATACGGTATGTATAGAAAATTGAAAGTTATAGTATCAAAATTGTCATATACAAAATTCCTTTAATTACAAATACCTTCATTTATATTATATTATATTCATGTTCTTTTATCATAATGTATTTGAGAATATGACGGCGTTTTAAACTATCACCTAATACCAAAGTAAATCGAATAAATTGAAGTTACGTCGGCACAATCGTTCAAGATTGATGGCAATGCTCGTTCTTCCTTTCTGCAACCGATGTCGATGTTGTCGATAGTTTCCATTTGGTGGTATCTCTCGTGACAAAAGCTGTTTTGCACTAAACGTTTTTGTGACGCACAGTATTTAAATTTTGCATCGGTGAATTCTATGTTTTGAAGGATTTGTAAGAAATGTTTGAGGGAACTGAATCTAAGTCTGTTTGCTCAAACATTTCTTACAAGTCCTTCAAAACTTGTAAGTCATGGTCACTGGTCTTTTGTTTAACATTTACACAATGTATCTTAGCGGCAATTTTGCACAAAATATGCGTTACTTTGCATGCATGTAGGCTACTTTGTTTGTGTAAATTTACCGATATTTTTGAATAACATCTACACATAGAGTGTAAAATTTACACACAAGTTTTTGCAGTATATGCAAATCAGTCTACGGATTGCAAAGATATACATCATTCGACACTTGGCTACTTTGCAACTTACATCGGATACTTTGACATTAGTGAGGCTTAGACAACACTTAGCACGCATCTGATTAATTGGGAAGATTAAACGCATCTGATTGGTTAATTGGGAAGATTAAACGCACCTGATTGGTGTTAATGGTCCCTTAATCGTAGTGGTAGTGGAAGTCAAATCTAAACCTCTCCTGACAGCTACAACCTAATGGCGGGCGTTCGTTGCGGATATGTAAATATATTTGGCATCCGGTGTCCCTTAATAAAACCCTAAAATTCACCCTAACCCCGTAACGAAGGCCCGTGAGTTTGTCAAACCACAACCAAATGGAAAGCTTGCTGTAGGCGTGCAGGGGCGTAGGCTACGCCCCAAAAGGTGTAATAAAAAAATACCACTAGTTTCCTTTCCTATATAAACGCAGACGAACCGTTTCTGCTAGAGCCTCGAAATCGTCCAATATATTGCTCCATCCCATATATCATTGTTACCTGCGTTCATCATTAATCAACTTTGAGCATTTGTGCGAAGTCTTCTTGCTTTTGCTGCCTTAATTCAGGTTTTACCTTGGTTCTTTTTAATTGCCCATCCCTGAAAGACAGAGCGAAAACACTCAGTAAAATCCCGTCAAGTTCAAACACTTCGATGGCAATTTTTTTCAATGATGATTTTGCGAGGGCTGGTGATGGTAATTAAACACATTCAACTATATGACGTACCATATTAGATCAACAAGTCCACCTTGTCTTGCAATATCAGCCTTCACTCGATTAGCAAACTGGATTGCAGATTCATCTTCTTCCCTCGTCACTGGTGGTAGGTACCAAATATCACAGACCAACGCCCAACTGGACATGATATCCAATAAATAATGAACCATAGAGTACTGACTTGAGTTCCAGAATGCATTTGAGAACAGAGGATCATACTATAGTTCAGCAAATGAGAGACAAAGTAAAGACCGAAGTGAATACATTTTACATGCAAATTTAACATCAACAGGGACGGTTGTTCAAAAGCCGGTAGCTACTGTAAATCCTAAGTTAACGAAAAACTTCAAATCGCTCTTTACTAGGTTTTCTTTGGAATGTAAAAGGGCCAGCTCGATCACATGGCTGTGAAAGGGTTGAGCTTTACAGTACATACTGTATATACCTTAATTGCAACAGGATAAATCGTTCCACCAATATCAAAACTTCCTTTTTTAAACATCATTACGGAAGTGTTGTTAATACAGGTCCCTGGAAAAACAGAGTAACACATTATCCCTTTAAAACTTGGCTCATGCAATAATGCAATGGAATGAAAAAAGGATACTGTATAGACAATATATGTGTAATGTGCAGCTTACCTTCAGGAAAAATAAGTATAGGATCTTTGCTGGGATCTTCTACGTGTTCTCGGAGTCTATAAGTTTCACACAATGAAAAACATAATATAGGGTGACACCATAGATATCTTAGTACAGTATATGCATCTAATTATTCTGCAATTCAAAAATTGAAGCCGTGATTGCAGACTCAGGGTATTCCAATGAAATGAGAAGACTCGTATGTTTTCTATTTCTTAAACAGGGAACTTAAACATTAAGTTAAACCTATTGCAAATACATTTTCAAACTATTCAAATGATGAAAGTTATTGTTGTTTTTTAAGCGTTTATTAGCGAGTGGGAAACTCCAACATGACCGCCATCTATTCAAATGGGGGTAACCGCTGGAATATTCTTGGCTTCAATTTTACTAAATGCGCTATCTAGTGTATATAAGATATCTATGGGTGACACCTACAGTATTATATGTTTGTATATACATGCAAATACATAGAGCAAAAAACACTACACAAAAACCCAAGTACATGGACGAAACAGAATGTCAAACTGAATTTTCAAAACTGTCTGAAGCCATTCCATTAATTATAACCACCATATACAGGTATATGTAATTTACACATGCAGTCCGACTTCGCGCTAAGTACGGACTTTATTCAAATTTTTCTCTACTAAAACGAACCTTTTGGCGACGGTTATTCGATCCTTCATTTCAGATCTTTCAAACCAGATATGATCTTGAGCGTTTGATAAAGACTTTTGCACGAAGCCAAAAAGACCACCTTGGTTTTGTCCCACCTGCAGAAATTGTGGAAATAAATACTTTGACATAAGCTTTGGAAAAATAGCCAGATTTCTACTAAAAACGAATAGTCCGTCTGGACGAACTTGGGCAAAGACAACAAAATTCGTCTGATAATTCTTAAACGAAATAAAGTTTTAACAACATTCCGCACAAGAGCAACAAAACTTGTTAAAGGAAAACTTGTTGACGGTACACACAAGAAAGAAAACTTGTCAACGAAAACTTGTTGACTGTGCACACAAGAAAGAAAACTTGTCAAGGAAAACTTGTTGACTGTACACACAAGAAAGAAAACTTGTCAAGGAAAACTTGTTGACTGTACACACAAGAAAGTAAATTTGTCAAGGAAAACTTGTTGACTGTAAACACAAGAAAGTAAATTTGTCAAGGAAAACTTGTTGACTGTACACACAAGAAAGAATACTTGTCAAGGAAAACTTGTTGACTGTACACACAAGAAAGTAAACTTGTCAAGGTAAACTTGTTGACTGTAAACACGAGAAAGGAAACTTGTCAAGGAAAACTTGTTGACTGTACACACAAGAAAGGAAACTTGTCAAGGAAAACTTGTTGACTGTAAACACGAGAAAGAAAACTTGTCAAGGGAAACTTGCTCGACAATACTTCTGTTTTTTTATAACTTCTAGAACTTACAAAAGAATAATTTCCATCACAGGCTAACATAATGGCGTCGATTGGTGATGTGTGATTCGCGACGCACGTGCCACCCCCTCTGGCTTTATTCTGTCTAAATTCAAAAGTACTATTAGTGGTGAACATCTATTGTTGACTATTTTTCGCTATACATTCCAATTTTGGAATACACAAGAACCACAACTAAGTTTTAACGCACACTGCATACCTGTTGTGAAAATTTATAACAGCTGATAAGCCTCGAGCTAAGATTCTGAAACCAACTAGCATTGCTTGCCGAGATAAAAATTTCCTAAAACTAAAAGGAAAATATATGGTATAAGAGATACTGGAGAGCATTCAAAGGATTTGGGCGCCCAAAAATAAATAAAATACGGCATTATAACAGCAGGTCTTTTAAAAATCATCCTTCAGATTTAAGTCTCAGCATTAATGTGGGAAATGGTGTAGCTTCTGAGACAATAACTTTCAAAACCTCAAATTTCAGAGACTCGCATTAGAATATTCCTTGGTGGCTTGTCATTGAAGAAGAAGCCATGCAATATGGCAGATTTTTAAAGTTGTTATAATATGATCCAAAAACAAAAAAAATTGTGTTCAGTTTTAGATTCCCCCTCCCTCCCTCATTACTCAATGCAATTACTGACAGGTACAGTATGCCCTTGAAATCACAAGAGAGTAAACATACATATCTGTTGGGTACATCAGGTAACCTCATGCAAGATAAAATAATAAAGTAAATTAATCATTATATCCTACTTATTTTCTGGCAGATAACCAATCAAACGTGCAGAGACGGCGATGAAGAGAATTCCAAATGTAGCTAAAGTTACTCTGTCATGAAAAACAAGAAAAATATTCCATTTAGTGCATATAATTTAGTGAAGACATTGAATCTAAATTCCCAAATATTTCACCCATTCAAGTGACATATAATCCCGCTCAGGAATTGACAATTATAGTAAATATACTGTATGCGAAAAATATATACTAGAGCTATAACTTTACCTGACAGGTAGAAAAATCACATATCTTACAAATAATCCAATTGCCCAAATAATGGTTACTTTTAAACTACAAGAAACAAGTTGCAGAAAGAAGCTATCAAGAATAAATACTTTAAAACAAAAAATGTACAGTAAGTATTCTATTAACCATTTAAGTGGCAATTCACCATAATGTGCCCTTCTTTATTATATTACTCTGTCTAATTTACTCTGTTTAATGCCAGTCATCAAGGGGAGAGTATGCTGCCACTCAATTGGTTAAATATTGTATTACATAAGATAACTAACCCCATATTTTTGGATGTACTATTTCTCATTAAAAGATTCCAATTCTCTAATTCTAAAACAAAAATAATTGAATCTAAAATAAAAATAATTGAATCTTCTCCATCATTGTCCACCCTATACTGTAGTTAATGCACATACCTACTGTAGCTACTATATGCATATATCTAGATAATACACAACATTTCCTGGACAGATCAGGGATGGATCCATCTGTGATCTGGTGTACAATTTGTGCAGAGGAGAGGGTGTCAGTCAAGGGGTGTGACATTCAAATGGGATAGGGTGCATTGGCGAGTCTGGGAGGATATAGGGAAAGAGGTACAGTAGTGGGATAAGTTGGTGCTTATTACTGTACAGCAATTAACCATGAATGAATTTTCCCCTTGTGTGCTATTCCTGACTTAGCATTGTGGCAATTAACAGGTAGCTCGGAATCAAATCTGTGCTCATAAAACAGCAGTAAATACCTTCAGCAGTAAATCTCTTTGTTACTTCATCATCAATGATTGCCTGAAAAACAGTTCATACTGTAGCTCAGTTATTTATACCTTCATGGTTATTTCACATTGATCAGAGACATTCTCACCCAACCACATAATACCCTCCAAGAAATATCCTGTTCAATCTACACACTCATATAATAAACATAATAAATAACAGCATGTTGTACTGTACCTCAGTTCCACTTCTAAAAAAGTCACAAGCATCTGTCATCTTAAACTCTCGCTGTAGAGTTGCAATAGATCTATTTCTAGGAATTCTTCCCTGTTCTTTGAGGGCATCTCCTTCTTTTTCTATAACAACTACACAAACATGTAAGAGATAAAAATAAACTTAATCAAAAGTTAACAATTAGCACCAACACTTATGTAAGGCCAATGAAAATTGATATCATGTTTCTCGTCCACAATTTTCAAAAATTTGGAGCGGGATTTTTTCATTTTTCATTTTTCATTATTTTTTGTATTTGAATTCTGCTTGTCAATAATTTCCTTGACCCAGTAAAAAACCCCATAAAAATCTGAAGTATTAAAAAATTGTGTATAATTCATTTTAATTTAATACGTCCTACACTACAGTCTACAGTACAGTATATTTCTTTACATACCAGGGCTGACATGAAAAATAGAGGCATTCTGGCGAGTGATATCTTTAGAAAGATACAATTTGAGTTGCGCTTGCGGAATACAGCAATAAGACTTTGATCTGGAGTTGAATTTGGTGTTTTTTAAGCCAATTTTTCAAAAATAATGAATAATGAAAAATTTTCGTGCGGCACATAAATCTCATGCGGGCGGGGACGAGAAACATGATATCAATTTTCATTGGACTAAAATTATCTGGCATTATACAGAGTAAGATAATAAAGTAGGGGTCGATCATTCAGACACATTGCACACACTTCTCCTTGGCAAGCTACAGTACCGTATATAAAATTCAATTGGCATTGGACAATTGCAACAAAATGGGTTGGGTTAAATTACCATATCTATTAAAGGAAGAGATATCTACAATCAAGTCCCAGTTAACACATAAAATCTATACACAAATGCTGTCCAACTATACAGTACAGTATTTAGGCCCCAGGTACACATTACCAGATTCACTTGGTAATTCACTTGGTAGATATTGTACTACCAGTGGCGTAACGCTCATTAGGTAGGGTTAGTTCAAAAACTAAGGGCCCCCGACAGTTAGGGGTCCCATCAGCCATGGCCTGTCACCCAGAAAATTAGAAAACATTAAAAAAAATGCAGGTTAAGAATCAATGGGAAAATGCAAATTAATAATGCTAAAGAATTAAACCTCCTTCGACAACAGTAGCGGATTTTTTTATTCCATCTCAAATAAAACAAAAGTTATTTGTGTTGGAGACTGTTAGATTGTTATTGTTATAGACATGGAATTTTCCAGAACATTCTATAAATAATTTCAATATAAATACATGTATATCTCAGTCAAACAATGACAACAGTCAACAGGGGTCCCACACCAAATATGCCTAAGGGCCCCCTTTTCCTACGTTACGCCACTGGGTACCACTCAGGAATGTCTTCCCATATAAATGTTCATCTTATTTTGTCATAATCACAATTTCAAGTGTTATAAGTGGTTTCTGAAATGGTTAAATTCAATGTTGTGACAAGCAAATCCTGTATTGTCTGACGTACTGGGCCCTTAAATTTTATTTTTGAAAATCTCCTCACATACCCATATTATTTGATTCCATTGAACTCCTCCCATACTAAAAAAAAATCATTACATTTTCATTTTAATGTAAGTTAATTCATGATTGGTGACGGATTTCACTGGATTTTAAAAAAATATGCAACAACTCAACAGCTGTCAACCAGACATAAAATTCTGTACTTGTTTAATTGCTATTTCTTAACCCGATCAGGAAACAAATGTGTACTAGACATTCAGTGCACACAAAATCACAATGGTACAAGTCTGAAACTGACAATGACAATTTACTATAATAAAATCACATTATCCATCTCAAATTCAAACTATTGTTTTACATGTATGCGCAAGTCTCATTTAACGAAAAATTCTTATAGGAATCCTAATTTCCTATTGAAATTCCAACAGGAAGTTTGGGTTCCTATAGGAATATCTATAGGAAATTGCATCTTCGAAGGGAGGTCCAAAGTTGGGAAGGAAAGCAACTTGTAAGGGAAGCAACTTGAGGAAGTGTGCATAGCAAGAAAAATCATTTATCTCATCTCCTTAAAAGTAAACAATCGTCAGTTTAAAGGCTAACAATAGACCTATAGATCAGCTAATGCATATTTATAATCAATGCCTCCAATATGCTTTGGATAATTCGATCATTGTCTTGCATGCTATCATCATTACAGTACAACGCAAGCATATTCTGCAAAATGCAATGGGCATATTAACACAATTAGGTTTACTGTCTGTCAACTGTAAGAAAAATTGTCATAACTGGCTGTATTTTTCTAAGGTTTTACTGTACATGTAAATTTAAATTTAATAGCCACCACGGAATTAGAGTACAACCATAACGTCCATAAGAATGTCTCAATACTATCCTAAACTGTAATACCTGTATTTGAAATTGTCACTTCAATATTTACAGTATGAGCAATGCAATATTTGTTTAAAACAGAATCTTGTGTGTGGGATGAGTAAATAAATGCTGCTGTGAGCCAATCAGCAATCACATTTGGAAATATTTTACTTCTTGCTTGCTGGCAAATATTTTTATTACTCTTGAGCAATACCAAACTTACAAAACGAAACTATATTATTCTACTAAAATGAGTTCCTTGCTAACTTTCTAGCTGTTGAAATTAAGTGCTTTTATACAACCAAAACTGTTCTGATGCAGACTTTATTCAGATTTAGTCAACCCTCTATTTCGAGATCACACATACAATAAAACTATTGCATATTGTCTCATAATGTCGAGTAAGTTTACATTGGTAAACTGCATTAGTAGTTCTGTGAATTCCAATACAAATTTGCAAAATATAAAATTTGACTTCCAGTTGAGAGGATTCTACTTTAAAATTTACGCACCAAATTCAACATACCTTTATAATTTTCACTAAAAATCTCGTGTACAAATGCCTTGCTCCCAATGAAAGGTTCAAAGCAGCAGGAATAACAATGATAAATATAATTAAAACGACATAAACCATCCATGCTATAAACAAAGCATAAAAAGTGTCCGCCATATTGATACGTAGTACACTATCGGCACTTGTTTCCATCTTCCAAACTGACATGATGACGTCATTGTCGGAAGAGGTCAGAGGGGACCAAGGAACGGGTTATGGGTGTTACTGTAAATGGTTATGGTTTTGTAACTAACCCAAACGCCATACCTGTGCCCTATTCTAACCCCTAACCCTAACCGCAACCCTAACCCTTAATAAAAAATCCAAAAAGAAACAACTTTAGAAATTGATCAAATGACGCAACGTCAGTTTGATGGTTGGAAACGAGTGAAAACCTAACTTTTATTTTTCGAATTAATATTTTTTTAGGGTATTAAATCGCTGGGATCGAAAGCGTGGGTACGCGTATAAAGGCGAATCTTTTCATCTAATATGACGCGCGCCATGTTAAATCGCAATGCTTTGTGAGCTATCATGGTTGATTAACAAACAACTTTACAAAATTTCCAAGAACGAAATGAGCATGCTCATGAGCATATCGGATTTTGGTATTAGCGGGTTTTGGTATGTATATGTGACGCAGGCATTATTTTAAGTAAATGTTGTATGAACACATGCGCACTGCAAACTTATATTAGATTTATAAGATATATATTTTTCATTCGGATGTTGTATTATGGTATATAATTGTTCATATTTTCTTGGCGCCGGATCTTAGAAAAATAATTTATAATATACATTTTGCAGTAACTTTGGTCTCTGCATGCTTTGGTCTCTACATGCTGCATTTATTGCTGCACACCGTCCAGCCTTCATTTTTTTTCTACCAACACGAACCGTATTGAACAGGCATATTGTATTTTATCTCCGGTGTAGGTGGTGTTTGTGATTGACCACCCTTGTTCAAACGGAAATTGTACTTATACAAGAGAGACTGTGGTCAATCTATCTTGTTTTGATAGCCCTGTTCAGCTTTATCGTTTTCATCACTAATTTGTCGAGCTCAATCCTTGCCAAATATCTGATCAGTTTTGTGATAAGGCGTCAGCTCATCATATTGTATATGTTGTCTTGGAGTAATAGGGTTGTGATCTATTATTCTCTCCTTGAGGATTTTTAATTATTTTGTTGGATTTTTAGTGATTTTACAGGAAAATTTTTGAGAGAAGATTTCGGCCTTTTTCGGGAAAAAAATTAGTTTTGGAAAAGTGTACGACGATTTTTGGAGTACTACACCTTCTGACCTCTTTCTCAACATATCTTACAGTTACTAATGACATGCGGCTTCATACGGACTATTTCGCTAGACTGAGAGTCTCCAGACGTTGGATTCTTGTCTGAGAGACTTCGAATTCTTGTCAACTATTTAACAATTTAATTTGTGGTGATTGTCTACTTAATAAAGATTTGTCAATGCGGAAAACACAATGTTGGATTCTTTTTTAGCAATTAAACGACAATTACTACTCGAAAATAATTAATGTGCGCAAAATATGTAAATTGAGTTTGGAATTTAAGTTGAATTGCATTTGAAGATTAATATCGTGGATTGATATTTATACATCCTGTCTGCGGTTCAATAATTGCAATTCGGAATTTTTTTTATGGTGCAATGCATTTTTAATTTTCACCTCTATATCACAAGATAAACCTTGGCCAAATACGTCATAGCATAATAAAATTTGAATTGGTCAATTAAAAGACCGTTTGAGAGCTGTCGATGATATGGAACGGTAATTAGTGGCTGTGCGTGTGTATATTGGTTTCTGTAATTCTGTGTGGCCATACAGTTGTTTTTGAGATTTCCTTCCTGCCATTGTTTTGTTTTTCTGTTTAAAAATTCTGGCAGAAGAGTTGTGGAAGCTCCACCAAACTAGACGGGCCTGAATTCTGCACATTTTCAAGTCGCTTGTTCAACGGTGTGAAACTATTTATTCTGCATGTCAAAAAATGAAATAATAATGTCAACGAATGTTCTCTTTCATGATGAAAGTCAGAAAGAGAACATTCATTGACATTAAATTATTATTTCATTTACTTGACATGCAGATTGCAGAATAACTGAAGTCATTTTAAGGTATAAAGTTGTGCATATGATGGAATATACCTGTAACTGAGTAATAATGTCAACGAATGTTCTCTTTCATGATGAAAGTCAGAAAGCCAACATTCATTGACATTATTATTTATTTACTTGACATGCAGATTGCAGAATAACTGAAGTTGTGCATATGATGTAAAGTTGTGCATATGATGGAATATACGTGTAACTGAGTAATGCATAAAGCATTGGTAAACTGTATTTACTAGATTTACAGCGATTCAACTACTTGAAAAATGAGTAAAACACGGCCCCTCCATGCATTGGGAAGGTAGTAGCGTAGTTTTACTTGAAACTTCGAACTGTCGAAGTATACTTTTTTCGTACGTATATATTTCAGGGAGTTGAATCCCTATCCATTTACAGTTTTCTGGTATTTTTGTCACAACCCACGCTGTCGCAGACCATTCGAGAATAAAGCATTAGACGCATTAGTACGGCATACCATTCATCAGTATCCTAACTCCTACGAGAAACCCACTGAGCTATATATATAAAAACGGTCCAAAACGTAACTAATAGAGAGGTTAAGATACCCCGGTTTCGGTGTACGTGTACGGGTAGGATGATTTTTGGTTAGCAATATTTTCGTCGATGTCTGTACCTTTACTCGTAATTAAGGTGCACATTTTCGCATTATATCATTGTCTATTGCAAGAAAACAGAAAAAGTATATATGATCGAATTACAGACATCAGTAAAACAAGATGACACTACTCGTACCCGTACACCGAAACCGAGGTATCTTAACCTCTCTAATAACTGAGTGATACAATGCAGGGTCGTCATTAACTACTATATCAGCAAATCCATATTTTACCCATGTTGTACTTGATAACAAAATTTTAGTCCTAGGATTTCAGCAAAACAAATTTGGCTGCCAAGATTGGCAGCATTTTAAACGAGTATTACCATGTGATCACTACAGAGCAATATGATTGGCTTATACATCTTCTCTTGAGTGGGATATCTTGTCAGAAATCATCAGTTCAATCGTGATTTAATAGTCATGACTCATGTGATCCTCCAATTTATTGCGTGATGCCAATATCCAAACCACTTATGTAGAGTGGAATGTTTATATGTCTACGACTTATTTCTAGAAGAAATCTGTGTATTTGTAGGATGGACAAACGTCTGGAGAACAAATAGAAAATTCCGCCAGTGACAAGTATAAACTCGCCTGACATTAGACAGAGTTCCAGTAGACTAGCCATCAAAGTTTTTAAGAAACTTAATTGGTAGAAGTACCAGATATTGCAGAACAGTAACAGTAACAGGAACAGAACAGACGCTAATGTATTAAAGATACGAATGATAATTATTTATGCTTCTCATCAGTGTTCTCATGTAACTCTGTGTGTGGGATCCAATTTGCACTTGAAAGCAATGTCTTACATTGAATGTGATGGATGACGGCTGGCCATTCATTGGGTAATAGAACTCAAGAAACTTTTTATATCGTGAATTTGACATCAGACAGACACAACCGCTAATGGATTTTGAAATATAGATTAAGACAATTGGATTTTATCATGATGGTAATCATGCTCATTGATCGTGATATGTGCAAGTTCAATTGGCCATTTCTACATAGATAAGAGAACGATAATAACACAATGCTTCGAAAACAGGCATAGATAGGAGTCTTTTCAAATTAAAGATACTGTAGAGTGCTATATTTAAGCTCGTTTTTTGCACGAAGTAGTTTTGCTGTGCACTAGTGGTCTTTTTGCACAGAACCATGTTAATTTAGTCTGCCGAGCACAGGAGGATAATAGGCGGGGTAATTTCAGGTCAATTTCTGCTCTATTTCCATTGCTTGAACCCCAATAACAGAAGTGTGGGTTAAAACCCTTTTTTATTATGCACCTGAAGTCCTGAACATGTTGGACCTGATCATCTCAGGACTGACGTACAATTGTGAGATTATAATATGATAGTCATTGTGTCACTGTATATGAGATGACTGAGATTGATCTTTTGTTAAATCTTCTCGCAGAATGTATAGGAAATAATCTTTCTAAACCTTAGAGAATAAAAGGTTTTCGGAGGAGGAGTAGACCCCCCAGGAGGTTTCTCGCATCTTCGGCACACGGAAACTCCCAAATCCAAGTTACGGGGCCTGCATAAACGCAATTTATTCTATAAACATTCAACTTTCGAACCGCACAACATCCTAAAACAATGATTTAGGGAGTATGAACATCTAACTAGAGATTAATCAAACGGCTATTCGAATCCTAAGTTTAGTCCCTCCCACGATCATTTTCAAAGGTTAATTGTTAGGAAACTTGCGATTTTAGTTCATCACTGTGGATATACAGCTATTTCAATTAAGGTTGTCCCCGAGCAAAGCGGAAAAGTCGAATACGAGCGCGAAAGCTTGCTGGGAATCGCTAAAAAATTAACAGCGAATTCTTGAGCGATTCCCAGCAAGCCTTTCGCGCTCGTATTCGACTTTTCCGCTTTGCTCGGAGCCTGGCTTGGAGACAACCTTAATTGAAATAGCTGTATGCAAACTATTACAAACATTTGTATATCCCTCCCCATTCAATGTTGTTTACCCAATATATCACACACCAAAGTAAGATGCTAACCGAAAATTGAAAAGGGGGCGGTGGGATCAAGGCTTGTCAAAATAATAAGTAGTCGTGGCATCGGTCCCAACGCATTTTGAAAATGATTGTTGTTTTATGAAGTCGATTCAATTCTTCTAAGTTCTTAATTCGTACCACATCTGAGTGACCAAATCACATGATAAAGGCTCCACTCTTCCCGCGAGGTTAAAATAACCCCCTACACCACTACTTGTTTTTCGCAACCGTGAACACCCGAGGAGAGGAAAATACATTATTATGTACAAGATCTATTCAAGAGTTGAAAATGACTCAAATAGCTGAGCTATCTCTGAGGTGACATACTGACTATAACTGCCGGATGCTATTTCGCCCACAAAGGCCACACAGATGAAACAAACT